TGTTTCAAAACATCCGAATCTATGAAAATACTGTTTGTACATCAAGCATTTCTTGTGGTGCTTATAGATAAATTGATAAATTTAATAAAGAAAATTCAGATTACAATACAAATCACTTTTAAATCAAACAAAATTCGCGTATTTTTTTAAAAAATGTATTGTATTAAGAAAAACTCGATCTTTCCAAATATAAAAAACTTTTTGTTTAATAACGAATTCTCCATCAACAGCTATATTTAGAAACAAAGTTTATCTTAAAAAAGCTCAATATAATGAGGGTATGCTTGTTTAATGACGAATTAATGGTATGATATAAAGTATTGTATCCCAAATAAATTAAATGATGAGCAAATTAATAAATTTGCATACAGCAGCAAGAAGAATTAAATTTAGAAGAAATGTGTTTTGGATAAAAATAATTTAGTGCATTTAACAGAAGTCAAGTTAAAATCGGTGACAGAATCATCAAATGTGTCAACTATTTGGAACATAGCGCAAGAGAAATGGAAGGACTGTTAAAGGACTAAATAACAGTTAATTGTTTATTGCGACGTACAATTTTGATTGCAAGAATCTCATTAATAATAAATCTATTCATACACATCTCGAAAAAAAAAATAGAACAATGATAGTTCATTATTTGAACATACCATAATGACTTTCAATCAACAACCAACAAAAACCTAAAATTCAATCTGTATTTCATCTTTCAGCTGAATGATGAAAACCATGGAAAATTAGGTATTCGATTGGTTTAGACATTGAATATGGTTTTTTTAAACTTCACTACATCGATTTTAGTAGTAAATTGAGATCAGTGCTTTTGAATCATTGGGATTCCGATCTTAACTGTCAAAAATTGTTAATACAATGATTTTTGATATGTATACAATTGGATTACGATATAATTGTAATTAATGTTTTGAAATAATGATGTCATGCAAATAAGGAATTGAACTGAAATTGTTCTTAATGTATCATTAATAATTAATTAATTAGAGGCAATCCATTGCTCTCACTACGGATAGTCTGAAACGAAATATTTCTGGTCGAAATTTTTTTTAAGAAGGGCAATTTTTTGCGATTGGATTTTTTCTTTTTTGCAGACAAAGTGATCGATTTTTAATTATTAAATGGGAAAAATAAGATGAAATGACTTTTTTTTCTTAAATTCATTTAAATGGGAACAAAAAAAAACAAGAACGGAGCAAAAAATGAAGTGATAAAAAAAGGAGAAAAAGAGAGAAAGAGAAAGAGATGGGTAATTGAATTAATTGAAACAATTGTGAAAAAAAAGAAATGATATTCAGATCATTAGTGTCAAATGAGAAATGAATCAGTATGTCCGTTGATTACTCAAATAAGGTCAAGAGATTTATGTAAAGGAAATGAAATTATTGAACATTCACTCAGGCCGAGATGATCAAAAGCACGATGATTTGTCAGAAAGTGATGTAAAATTGAAAATGTATGCTAAATTGAAATGTTACAGTTTCAAAAAAATGATATTGGTAGAAGTCATACGATTCGTTTAATGAACTAGGATAAATTAAAATTCAAGGTTATAAATTTGATGATTCATCGAGAACCAAAAAACCGTCATTCGTGATTATCAATATAATTAGGTTGATTACCTAATTATATTGATAATCACGAATGATGGTTTTTTGGTTAATTGGAATAAAAATAGTGAATGCATCGCTTATCACAAAGATCAAGCAATGACATGAATCGAATATTCTGTAATGTTTGAATTTAAAAACAAACGCTTATTATTTGCATAATTTGAAATTGTTTCGAAAATTGGTTCGCTGAGAATTTTTTCCCAGACCTTTTGAATAGCAATTTAATTTTTTTACTATAGGATAAGCAAAAGTAAAATTATTTTACAAGTGTGTTTTACAGTTCACATTTTTCACTTTTATTCTACCAAAATTATAAAAATAGAAGATTCTAAGTTATAATAACTCACACTTACTAACTGTTTACTTACAATACTTACTTTCTATTGAAGTTAATATAATCAATCTATCGATAGTATAAGTGGCATTTTCAGTCTCATTCACTTAAACCGATTAATTACCTCTCTATTTTTGTAAGTTTGTTTTGTACTCTTTGTGTGCAACTGAAAATCATTAAGAAAGCTCCCAACGACAGCACACTGATAGGTGACATTTATCGTAAACGACCCCGTCTGATGGAAATAACTGAAAATTATTGAAATATAAAAAAATAAATAATTGTAAACAAATTTTATTATTGCTTGACATATATCCGGATCGCCATTTATCAGGAAAAAAATTCAGAAATTTTACTTTTGTATTTCATATGCCAATTATCCTTTCGTCATAGCAAATATGAAAGTTGCTCAATTTACCATTGATGATCGTGTGACAATGTGTTAATCCGAAAAGCTATTCCTATCGCTTCAATTATTGTAGATAGAAATTTAAATCAAACTTCTAACAGCTTTTATTTGAATGTATCCCATAAAGTTAATTATCACACTAATCGCTATTGGTATTCCAAAGTTTTAAATCAGACGATAAAGGGCAATGAATCAATTAGCTTAATTGCAGTTTGCTATGCCTTCCATCGATTAACCGCCGTTTAATTCTGTGATTATCATGAATTATCACTGAGTTTTTGGACTGTGATAATTGCTGTGCAGACGATGGATGAAAGGCATAAAATGAAAGAAATTCACACGCAATGTAAAACTTACATCAATATGATCAAATGAATCAATTCTTCCTTATCAGTTAATGATTGAAAGCAATGTAACGATCACCAAAATCATATATTTTTAAATTGCAACATTTTAAAAATTTTACATTAGCAGACAAAAAAGGATAAGAAAACAAGAAAAAAAAGGGAGAACTTTGAAGGAATGTCACTTTTAAAATGAATCTTGACGATGGAAGTTTTGTTGATAAAAAAAGTTTCGTAACCATCGCGTTGAGCTAATTAGAGCTTGACCTTTTTAGGGTAAAACTCACTCTCGAAGATATTTGATTCACTATGCTGTTTTATTCAGTTTTATCAAATGTAATTTTTCGTAATTGTATAATAATTCATGCAGTTGAAAATGGATTTCATTTTTATTAAATCAGATTGCGGATCAAATAAAGTTGAAAGTTTCAAAATTTAGCATGGGAAACAAGGAGCCGCTGAAATTATATATCAATATATTATTAGGTTTTCAATCCAGAGTTATATCCTAATATACTGCATCGATGGTTGCATGCTATCAAAAAGATTTTTAATAAACAAAATGAATATTTCATAGGTTTTATTAATCGAGATCGATCAAATCAGACATAAAAAGTAGAAAAATTCCCGTAATATATTAAGACTCTACTCTTCGAATATTCAGATGATGCGAACGACCACTTGTCCATATCCCATTTAAAACACTGGAAATCCCATTTTCAATAGTAATTGCCGGCTATCTGCATAAAACTATTCTTCCAAGAATTTTGCAGTCACTTCCAGAACAAGATTGTGATGAGTGTGAACACAATACCTCTATGGAACACTTTTCCTTTCAAATAAGTTCTAATTTTGGAATTTCGAAAGCTTTACATTGCCTGAGTTCTCGCTGCAAGTTTTTATAGCTTGATTGATTGTTCTATTGCATCATTGAACCACCCACACATGCATGAATGAGTATTTTACTATTTCACGGATGTTATTCGTATTCTTTTTTGGCGGTCACCAGAAATTTATTGAAATTTAGAACATTCGTTGCAAGCAAACACAGACATACTTTTCCCTGCACACGGGACATAAAATCTTGAATAAGATATTTAATATGCTACCTCAGTCTGTGAGAGCAGTTAAAATGTCTCAAAGTCTTTATCATTTGTCCACTTATTTGCAAAAATTAAAATCTAAATAGGGACAGAAGGAGAAATCTGAAGCAGAAAATGAAAACCACTTAGAATTAATTGCAGTTGAAATCTCAAACTATTCCCCCGCTCAATAAAAGCAGCTGTGCTCTATTATTAAAAACCATCAATAGTTCAGTGACCAAAAGTGAACTTTGAGGCCAGGTATGAGATTATATGTACTACAATTCTGATATGCAAAATTACGAATTCTCTTCCATGAAAATTTGAATCGTTACCCCATAACCCATATCTCCACTGTTTTTTTAACCGTAATTTATGAAAACGTCATATGCAAGAGAACTTTCGTAGCCATATTCCAAATTACTTATCATTCAATAAATTTGCCTCATCAGACACCCAATATTAAAAGCAATGATCATAAATAGTAAAAACCAGGCACAAACAAGAAATGAATTCTCATAAAATAACCATTGAATCAGACATTGCATTCATCAGTTCAGTTCAGCAGAAGTTCAAAAACATTCAGCAACAGGAAACTAAAGAAAAAAAATCATATAAATGAGCAAATATGCTGTTTCATCGAAAACAGAAGGATAATAATATTAGCAAAATCATCAAAATGAACAGAAAACAAAGGCACTGCAGTATATGAATGCGCCCTGAAGCTTTATTTTTGTGCGAATTACAGAAATAAATTACTGAAACTCGCCACCAACTCCCACGCCATGACAATTCCAGTTCCATATTACCAGGCCACAATTTCACTAATCTATAAAATTATTTACGAGTCAGCTCCGAATAAAAATTCAAGAAAGATGAAACGAAATCAAAAACAAAATCTGATTCGCAACATTATAAAATTGCATTTAACCTCAAGCACTATAGAAGTCCCCGGACCCACACGATTTGAGATTCCTTCTTATTTCAATTTACAATGCACAACATTATACATTCAGTTTTTTCTTTTCTAAAAAGAACTTACCAAAAAACTATGGATGACAAATATTGTGACATAACAAAGCACAACCAAATGATAAGTTATTGGGAAAAAGCAAAATATATTTCCCTAGGAAAAAATGTATTAAAAATAAACCAAAAACGAAGTAATGGAATTACCTGCAGAGAATAATCAGTAAAGATTGAACTTTAAGTGTATCTGAACTTCGGTGAAGTAGTGGTAGTATCCATCGCATCTTCTTGATTACTTAATACATTTGATGCTACATCGCCATCTGAATTAGCTATCGACGGACTGGAAAAATATTAAAGATGTTACAACTTCTTAATAATGACTATATGGATTTTACATACTCAATAGTTCACTTTCATGAATTAATCCACTTCATATACCTCGCAATTTTCACGCTTACATTCCTGAAAAAATGGCTAAAGAGAGATTTTAATTCCCAAACCATTTCAGGACTATTTTGAAGAAATCAGTATATCTTTGTTAGCGATAATTGTAATTGAAAAAGATATGCACAGCATGCACAGTGGATTTTTTTTCTACAAATTTGTATGTATATCCTTCATATGTGTCCATAATAACTAGAAGAATATGACTCGACGAGTTATGTTTTTTTAAGCTGATATAGTAAAGACAAGATGTTTTAAAATAAATTGGTAAACAAAATTCTGGGTGGACAAGGATAATAAAACTACACCGGAACACAATATTTCATCTCCAACAGTAAATCATAAGTACCTCTGACTTTTAAGTGGTGATCGTGCGTTATTTGGTTTTGGCTTCGGCATTTCCTCGAGAACACTTGGCGCGATATACGTGAAACCCTCGAATGGATTTACTGATAAAGAGATATTTTGCTCGCAAGGGGAATCAACTGGTGTCATCTTCGTGAATTTGCTGTCGAACAAGGACACATCATCTTCGGAAGTGATGTTTGGTTTGTATGGTGGCTCCAACTGCAAAACCAAAGTAGTAAAAAAATAGAGAGAATGAATTGTCGAAAACAAAGTTAAAAAATTTAACAATAATGGAACGACTTTTTTTCTCGGCTGTAAAACGCCATAAATATAAAATATGAAAATGTGAAAACAAATATGAAAAAAAGAGAATATTGGCCCAGTATTATATCATTCTCTAATAAATGAATCTCACAGGAACGAATTTTTTACCTGCCGTGCGTAGACCAAATCCCAATTGAAAGATCGGAAAAAGGAATGTTGTTTAATTTCATAAGCATCCTCAGGCCCAGCTCCAAGTCTCGTTTCAACGTGCCTCTTCAAAAGCCTTTTGATCAAATCACGTGCTTCCATGCTCAAAAATGATGGCAATGTGAGTCGTCCTTTCAATATTTTATCGATGGTCTTCTTCCTAAAATATGAAATATAATTTCTTAAAACATGTAAACATAATAAAACTTTACTTCTTATATGTTCATAAACTATTTTTTGCATTGGAAATTTAATACAAAAATCTTAAATTTAAATGGATAATGTAATAAAAGTGATAAAACCTGTTGTCAGCTGTGAAAGGAGGACCACCAGTAAGCATATCAAATGTTAATGCACCCAAACTCCACCAATCCACTGCTTTATTGTGTCCAACCCTCATCAATATTTCTGGTGCCATGTATTCAATAGTACCACAAAATGTGTGCGTTTTCTGATCACCTTCAATTGCTTCTTTGCATAAGCCAAAATCAGTCAATTTCACATGTCCTGAAAACTCCTTTCAAAAATTAAAGGTGTTTATTAGCAACGAAATCATGAGTCAATGGTAAAACTAAGCAAATTACAAATTACTCCTCGTAATCGAACCATTTGCAGTAATGCGCTAAAATGCAACTAACCTCGACTATCAAGTAAAATATTTTCTGGTTTCAGATCGCGGTAAATGATTCCTTGCCGATGGAGATGTTCTAATGAGCAAACTATTTCACTTAAATAAAATGCTGCAGTGTCCTGTAATGATATAATATACATATCCGGTTTTCCTTTTATAGTTCAGATTACCAACCGCTAATGGAAGGACATCTTTTTCCGGGATAGTTGCATCGGCATAAGTTCGCCATTTTGAACCCTATTTCATAATAGTTATTAATATTGAACTATTTCATAATAGTTATTAAATATTTTTGAACCCTATTTCATAATAGTTATTAAATATTTTCTATAATAGTTATTAATATTTACAACTCAATTATTTAGCAGTCTGATTTGTATTGCTACAACTGAAGCAAAAAGATGAAGGTTAATTAAAAATAAAACAACAGAAATGAGTATTGGTTCTTCTGTTGAGATGATCTCAGTAATTTTTTTGGAAAGAGAGAAAACAATGCTCAAAATGTTTGAGCTCAAAGAGGTTTTCAAAATAATATTCAATATTATCCTTGAAAAATATTTTCAAGTGTAGATAATGTCATTCTCCCTCTTCTTCTTCACGCATTCATGACATACTATATTAACTTATAGTTTCAGAGCAAACATCAAAATGATCAAACAGTCATATATCGTAATGACATTTATAATAAGGAAGCACTCTGTCATACAATCACCATAAATTCAGAAAACCCGTCTCAGTCCTTCTGTGTAATAATTTCCGAACAAACTATATTGTACACTCCTTCAACTGCAAAAATCATTCTATTCTTCAACTAAGCCTTTTAGCAGATGTATCTAACACTGCATTTCAAAAATACCGATATATTATAAATAGAAAGAATATTATAAGCTCTAATAAACTGCTCTGTAATAATTTTTTAAATAAATTTTAAAAATATTTTGCTTTAACAAAAATTTCATCAGAACTTTAGAAAAAAAACTGATAAATTTGAAGATTGCCTCCATGAAAAGTCCTTCACGCTCCAAATGCATGAATAATTCGCCACCACTTAAATATTCCAAAATCAAATACAACTTTCCGCCTGTTTGAAAAGCATAGAGAAGATCACATATAAATGGACTCTGAAAATTACAAGACAATTGCTAATTTACATCAGTTAAATACTACCATAAGAACTCAATTGCTCTGATATGAGTAATCCATGAAGATCAATTATAATTCCAGCTCAATTTTCTTTGGAAGCTTCTCCTGAAGAAAATCTGAACTCTAAGAAGTTAAGGACCGCAACTTAGACTCTAAAAACTGCCAATTCATTTATCTTACATCATTTTCATTCCGACAAGCATGATAAACATTTAAGCTAACCTTTACTGCCTCCAAAATATTCCTTTCTGCTTTTGTATGAGCTGTGTCCTTTTGATTTCTGATGATTGTCGCCTTTTTCAACACTTTCATTGCAAAAATCCTTCCTTCATCTTTTCCATTAATCTTCCTTACTTGGAACACCTACAACAATGCCATCACTCTATATTTGAGCTCCTGAACAGTTTGTTAATATCTCAAAATCGCATCTCAATACAGAAATGCAACTCCTATTTGTGATACCTCAGAGAACTGAATTCTAACATCTTACCTTTTCACAGCCACTATAAAAATCTCGCTTGAAAAAATTTCATTCATATAGTTAAAGTATTAATCATTGTGTTCGAACTGTCCAGCTAATGATGATAATGCAAATTATCAATTCTATCGTACCTTTCCATATCCGCCTTTTCCCAAAACCTTAAGCAACTGAAAATTTTCCGGTCCTAAACGTGTATTTGGAGGATTGACGGTTGATTCATCCAGATCAATTTTTTCGATATATGGATCCTCTCTGAAACAGAAAAAAAATAATGAAGAAAATTCAAAAACAATATTATAATTTTTTCCAATTGAATAATATACAAAGAAATTCTTCTTACGTCTCCACGACTCCATTTGAAACAAAGAAAATGAATGTAAATTAAGCTAAATCTGAGTTCTCAACAATTAATAAAATTCAAT